TATCGATTTATCGTAACCCCCCTTCCCCAGGAAAGATATCAATATTTTTTTTTAAATGTTCGTGCAGTTTTAGGATTTAAGAGCTGAAAACTAGTCCGAAGAGAAGTCTGACATGTAACATGTGTTTTCGGGGTCGCCGATTTTAAATTTGATATCAGTTTTCCATTATACTCCTTGCTTAAGGTGTTGAGTAATAATGGGGAGGGAGGGGTTGAGGTATTGGGGGGGGAGGGAAGGTAATTTCCAACAAATTATTTAAATGATAAAATTATTATTTTCTATTTGGTATACTTATTTTGTAGTCGTATACTAAATTTAAAGTTTTTAAACCCATAATAGTCTTCAAAATCCACGTTCATAGTGTTTATGTCACTCTCAGGTTTACTCAATATAAAAAAAATTGTTTACTGCAAAATTTGTTCTGAACATCATAACTAAATAACCAGCACGATCTAAGCCACATAAGGTGTGCGTCAAGCACAGTCTAAACTAGCACACTCTAATCCAAGTACAGTGAGCATTTGGGACATTTAAAGTGTTCCACTCAATATCTTATATGGTTTAATCAGTTTAAAAGTGACTATTCAAAACAGGTTGTTGATCAGTCAAAACTTACAGCAAATCATTCTTAATTTTAAAAAAAACAATTGAAAATATGCGTCCTCACTTCAGTCTCAAAAGCTGATAGCCCTTTGGAAGAAATAAATTGATAAAAATGTCAATACAATATTGTCCAATATTGTAAAATAAAAAAAAACTTTAATGCCTAAATTCAAATTATTTCAATAGAAACTGAGTATGTAGACTACTTTAGCTGAAGAGCTATAGAAACGGTTTTCGATACATGCATAGATTTTAATTGTGTCTGTTTTATTAACCGTTAAACTTAATTAGCCAAAATAGTTGCCCATAGAAAAAAATCACCGTTAAAAAATCCAACGACAACTGTTGAGGCTATAACAGGTAATGGAGCGCAATTCTATGCCGGTAATCGCCAATGATACAGATGCCCTCTTATCTTGGTTGTCGCGGCCGTCCACACCACTCCGCCCTACTCCGCACGATCTATACTGGCAATACTACCGGTCAGCTGTTCACACACACACACACACACACATATACGCACCGGGTTATACTATGTAAACAAATGTGCCACGCCCGTATTATCAGTGTTAGTAGTGCACTTGTTGCATTCTTGTGAATTTGAAGTATATAATATTAATCTAGACTTTTTTGTGTGTTTTTCTTCAGTTTTTTTTAGTTTTAAGTGTTATTATAGTATTTTTAAGCCATAAGGGCACTATGATTTTTTATTATTATTGTCTTAAGGACAAAAGATTGTTTATTATTGTATCTTTAAGCCATAAGGGCATTATTGAGTTGTCATAAGGACAAAAAACTATTTTAATATTTTTGTTTTGTTGTTCACTTTACTTTGTGTCTAGTATTATTTAGGTTTAGGTAGCAGCCCTGGCCAGCGGTTTGCAGTTCTTCGGTTTGTGAGTACTTTTTATTTATACCATATTTTATTGAGTTTGTTTTATTTGTATTTTAGTTAACTACTGTGAATTATTGGAACATATTTTGATCTCATTTACTAAATACGAGTTAGGGCGATAGACATAAGGTTAATCGTACCATTTATATTGCTAGTTAGCCATAAGGGTTCAATCTAGTCAATAATCAATATTTGTATTTGTGAATAATTTTTGTTGTTCTAATAACCACCTTAGTTATCAAAATACTTTTAACGTCATAAGCTTTAAGCACTCACTTAACTTTACCTTTTAATCTAGTCATTACTATATTAATTATTTATTTGTGTTTGTGAATTATTATTCACAGACCAGATTAATTTATTATTGTGCCAAAAGGGCAATTAATTCTTTTTAGTTTACCAATCTTTTTTTTTATACTAATTATTTATTTGTGTTTGTGAATTTTATTCACAATTGTATCTTGAGCCAAAAGGGCTAATTATTTATTTATTACCATTTATTATAGCATTTTATTGAATATTATTATTATTATTATTATCATCGAGTTTGAGTTTTATTTATTTAGTTTTTAGTTATAGTTTTAAGTTTCCTACACATTCACACTATACACACTAAACACACTTTTGCACCACATAGCTCACTGGTCTTGCGTAGGCGATCCCTCACACTTCCAGTGAGACTATTTACCCCACTACCCACACAGCACTGATCGGTAAGTGTAAAGCAATTGGTAACCGGGTAAGTGGCCTATTATTGTCCGCCCCCGGCCCGTTCATTTTGGTGACCTCGACGTGATATTTTTTATTTTTTATACCGTTCTAGTGTTCTGTGTTTTGTTGTTCAATTTTGAATTTCATTTTGTGTGTTGAATCATTTCTATTGAGTTATTTTGTGAATTTTAGTAAACTCTTGGAAACGCGTTACCAAATTTAATAGTGTTTTTAATTAAATTTCTTTAGTAAATAAAAAAGTAATAGTAAAATTGAGTGATTTAATTTGAGACTGAGTAACTAACCAATTTGGGTACTTTAATTTCGTTATTATTTTATATTATTTTTTTTTTTGTCTTATTTGGTATTTAAAATCTGTGTTTTTCGATATTATTCTGCTTCGTTCTAATTCATCAAAATGGTACTAGACGAAAACGCACAAAAACTGTTGACAGAATTAAAACGAAAACGAGGCGTTGTTAAAGCTTCACTTACGCGCGTTCGAACATTTATTTCAAAATTCGATCCATCCGAACAAGCTTTATCACTACTGGAGTTCAGACAGGAAGAGCTTCCTCAAATAAATCGTAAGTTTGATGGTATTCAATGCGAAATTGAACTTATTGATTCTGATGACACTGAAGAAGCTGAGTTGGAAAGGGATAGATTTGAAAGTGAATATTTTGCAATACGATCACAAATCCAAGAAATTATCAATCAAGAAAAGGGATTAAATACAACGGGCCACAATCAATCGTACGGTGGCACATACGTTCCGGCTCGAGTTCAATTAGCGCCAATTCCTTTACCCAAGTTTGACGGCGATATTCAAAAGTGGTCGTCCTTTTATGACGTCTTTAAAGCTATGGTGCACAATGATGACGCATACTCAGTTGCTCAAAAGTTCTTCTATCTGCGTTCGTGTTTAGAAGGATCAGCATTGGATTTAGTGCGCTCAATTCCTGTTAGTGACGCCAATTACGAAACTGTTGTCAGGCGGTTAATACAAAGATTTGACAATCAAAGCCTGGTGATACAGTCACATATTCAGTCCATACTCGACTGTCCTCAAGTCGAAGAAGCATCCTCTGAGACAATAAACGAATTATACTCCTGTGTATGTACTCAGGTTGCAGCTCTTAAGGCGTTAAATCAACCAGTTGAGCATTGGGACGCATGGTTGATAACAATTGTAACTAGCCGTTTGGATAAGGGGACCGCCCATTCATGGCTGCTGCACCAGAAAAACACTAAATTGCCAAAATATTCAGACCTCGAAACATTTCTTGCTAGTCGATGTGTCGCATTAGAAGCTTCAAGGACCCGATCTAAGCCTACGGGGGGAGCGTCAACGATCTCCAACGTTAAGAAGAGCAATTTGGTGCCAAAAAGGTCCTTGGTAGTTTCCAGTGCAACAGAATCATGTCATTGCTGTTCTGGAAATCACAAGCTGTATTTTTGTGACAAGTTCAAGGGATTTTCATTAGCTGAGCGTCTCTCATTCGTGCGAAAAGAATCACTCTGTTTCAATTGCCTATCACCTAGACACTTATCTAATGCATGCAAGTCAATTTATACTTGTCGTTATTGCAAACGAGGCCATAACACATTGTTGCATTTTGAAAAGCCCAAAGATGTGGCCAAGCCTAAGGCGGACGATGGTACGGTTTCCTCTCCAAATCAAAGCACTGCACTCTTAGCTGGTGATGGCCGAGCTCATGTTTTTCTTGCTACCGCTGTCATTATAGTTCTTGACAAATTTGGAAATAAATGCCAATGTCGAGTTATACTCGACAGTGGCTCACAAATTAATTTCATATCTAAAAGATTGGCAACCTTGCTACAATTACCGGCAAGAAAGACCTGTTTACCAATAAGTGGAATAGGTGCAAAGCAAGTCCAAGCAGCATCGTCCATAAATATTAAGGTGTCATCTCGAGTAAGTGACATGAAGTGGACCTACTTTGCTATGTATTACCAAATATTGTCTCTGCGTTACAATCATGTGCTGAACCTCAGGGAGGATGGAACATACCATCAGAGCTGATTCCACAACTGGCAGATCCAGATTTTGACAAACATCGGGCAGTTGATCTTCTGATAGGCGGTGGCATATTCTTTGATATTTTGGGCACTGAGCGACGGATGCTTCTGCCTGCAGCCTTGTGCTTGCAAGAGAGCCAATTTGGATGGGTAGTAACTGGTGAATTAGAGGCCACTTGTTTATTAGGGATCAACTCTGTGGGTGAAGCCCTTGAAGAAGATTGGAAGGCATTACTGCTAAGAGAGGATTCAGGTTATGGTCAGACATCTAAGTCAAACTTGAAGAGTTTAGAGGAGACAGAGACTGTTCAGCATTACCACGAAACTGCCATGCGAAACGAAAATGGACGTTTCGTTCTTCGTTTACCGGTCAAGGAAACCGTGCATAAATTGGGAAACAGTATAACAATGGCGACATCACGGTTCTTTAGTGTTGAAAGACGACTGCAACGCGATCAGCATTTGCGCACGGAATACATCAAGTTCATGCAGGAATATTTGGATATGGGACACATGAAATGCGTATCTAATGAAACAACAATCCCGGACAGATCATACTATTTACCACACCATGCAGTGCTGAAGACATCCAGTTTAACAACAAAACTTCGCGTAGTGTTTGACGCTTCAGCAAACAGTTCTTCCGGGTTATCTTTAAATGATGTACTTAAGCGTGGTCCAACAGTGCAAGAAGAGTTATTTGCTATTTTGGCCCGTTTTAGGAAATATCAATACGTGATAACATCAGACATTGAAAAGATGTTCAGACAGATTGAAATCTCAGAGCGAGACTGGGACCTACAACGAATTTTATGGAGAGCGGATCCCAGTAAGACTCTTCAGACCTATCGTTTAACTACTGTCACGTATGGGACAACACCTGCCTCATTTTTATCCACCCAATGCCTTATCAGTCTTGCAGAACAAAATGAGCAAACGTATCCAGAGCATCAAGTGTCATAAGACAAGACTTCTACATGGACGACTTAATGACTGGCTGTGATACTGAAGCAGAATGTCTCCAATTGCAGCAAGAAGTAAGCACAATACTGGATTCTGCAAAAATGCCATTGCGTAAGTGGTGTTCTAACTCAGAGTCCGTGTTAAAAGGTATTGGAAAAAATGAACAAGACCCACTTTTCACACTGGATATTAGCGATGATGATACTGTCAAATCATTAGGGCTGGGTTGGAAACCATTCATTGATCACTTCCGATTCAATATAATTGCCATTTCTAGAGATACTAAACTAACTAAGCGGACACTGTTATCTCAGTTAAATAGGATATTTGATCCTCTAGGGTTTCTCTCACCAGTCCTCGTTAAAGGAAAAATATTTCTCAAACAACTATGGCAGCTGAAGGTTGACTGGGATTCGCCACTTCAAGAGGAATTGCAAAAACGATGGCGCCTTTATTACTCTGAGTTAGAAAAGCTTAAGGAACTATCTATTCCCCGAAAATGTATTTACAATGCTAACGCCTTAGTTGAGTTACATGGATTCTGTGACGCATCTATGGAAGCCTATGGTGCCTGCATTTATGTTCGTTCATTAGGCTATGACGGGAAATGGCATGCACAGCTTTTGTGTTCAAAGACTCGAGTTGCTCCACTTAAAGGAGTGACTATTCCTAGATTGGAGCTTAATGGAGCAGTACTGTTAGTGCAATTAGCATACAAGGTTGCAGAGTCATGGAAAATAAATGTGCAATCATTTAAACTCTGGACAGATTCCATGATTGTACTCGGTTGGCTGAATAGTGATTCTAGTAGATTAAAGACATACGTGGCTAACAGAGTCGTTCAAATACTTGAGGTATCGACTGCGGAGCAATGGCGACATGTGAGAACCGATGAGAATCCTGCAGACGTTGTCTCTAGAGGTCTAAGGCCACAGGACTTAGTCGACAACAACATATGGTGGACGGGCCCGAGCTGGCTTTCGGAAGACGAGAGTGGTTGGCCACGTATCGCAAACGTAAGGATGGCAGAGGACGACGTGCCTGAACTGCGAACAATTCGGTTAGCTTTAACTGGCATGATAGTGCCAGAAATGGACATGCTACAACATCATTCGGAGTGGAGCCGATTAAAAAGAGCAACCGCTTGGCTCTGGCGCTTCATCGACTATCAGTGGCCGCGATTCTCAAAGGTTGTTCATGAAACCAGTTATCTAACGGTGAGTGAGTTGCGAAGAGCCGAGTCTTCAATATTGAGAAGAGTTCAGACAGAGGCTTTTCCGGAGGAACTTCGGGCGCTACAAAACGGTAAGGAGTTGCCGACTCGGAGTAAGCTAAGATGTTTGCACCCATTTTTGAAGGATGGACTCATTCTGGTAGGAGGACGGTTGAAGAATGCCAACATACCTGATACGCAGAGACACCCTATTGTCTTACCACCTAGCCACAAGGTAACTCGATTGTTAATGGAGTATACACACAAGGAATTGCTGCACGGTGGTCCTCAAAGCATGCTGGCTGAAATGAGAAGGCGCTATTGGCCATTAAGAGGCCGGGTGATGGCACGCTCCGTGGCGCATAAGTGTGTAAGGTGCATACGCGTCAAGCCAACTATGCTACAACCAATTATGGCTCCATTACCACGGGATCGAGTTCAGTGCAGTAGGCCGTTTGCTATAAGTGGCGTAGATTTTGCGGGACCACTCATCATTAGAAGTGGAGTACGCCGAGTAAGTGGCAGGAAAGCATGGATCGCAGTGTACGTTTGTTTCTCTACAAGAGCTGTCCACTTAGAGCCTGTGGAAGATCTCACGAGTAGTGCATTTATTGCTAGCCTGCGACGGTTCATGGCACGTCGAGGCAAGTGCACTAAAATCTACAGCGACAACGGCACGAATTTTGTGGGAGCACAAAAAGAGCTAAGTCCTTTTTTAGCTGGTATCGACGACAAGATGGCAAAAGAGGGAGTAGAGTGGCATTTCAACCCACCATCCGCCCCTCATTTCGGTGGTTTGTGGGAGAGCGCAGTAAAGACGACAAAGTTCCACTTAACACGCGTGATAAAGGATGCTCGTCTAACTTTAGGAGAGTTAACCACGTTGTTGTGCCAGGTGGAAGCGTGCGTTAACTCGCGGCCTATGACACCGCTTAACAGTGACCCTTCAGAAGCGGAAGCAATCACCCCAGCTCATTTCTTAATTGGTGGCCCAATGATGATACCACCAGAAGCGAACATATCCGAAGAGGACGTTCAACATCTACGTCGTTGGCGCTTTGTGCAAGGCTTAATGCAAGGCTTCTGGAGGCGATGGCATGCCGAATATCTACCACAACTTCAGGTGCGAGGCAAGTGGGCTTACCAGAAAAAGGACCTAGTAGTTGGAGACGTGGTTATTATAAAAGAGGACTGTACTCCACCAACAAAGTGGAAGCTAGGACGAGTAGTGCAACTACACCCAGGGAAAGATGGCACAGTTCGAGTAGTCACATTAAAAACTGCCAATAATAATGAGCTCCGTCGGCCCGCCGTAAAACTCTGTCGACTGCCAATCGAGTCAGAAGACAACCAAAATGAATAGTATTGTGGTTGAAACTTAAGGTTTCAACGGGGGGAGGATGTTGAGGCTATAACAGGTAATGGAGCGCAATTCTATGCCGGTTATCGCCAATGATACAGATGCCCTCTTATCTTGGTTGTCGCGGCCGTCCACACCACTCCGCCCTACTCCGCACGATCTATACTGGCAATACTACCGGTCAGCTGTTCACACACACACACACACACACATATACGCACCGGGTTATACTATGTAAACAAATGTGCCACGCCCGTATTATCAGTGTTAGTAGTGCACTTTTTGCATTCTTGTGAATTTGAAGTATATAATATTAATCTAGACTTTTTTGTGTGTTTTTCTTCAGTGTTTTTTAGTTTTAAGTGTTATTATAGTATTTTTAAGCCATAAGGGCACTATGATTTTTTATTATTATTGTCTTAAGGACAAAAGATTGTTTATTATTGTATTTTTAAGCCATAAGGGCATTATTGAGTTGTCATAAGGACAAAAAACTATTTTAATATTTTTGTTTTGTTGTTCACTTTACTTTGTGTCTAGTATTATTTAGGTTTAGGTAGCAGCCCTGGCCAGCGGTTTGCAGTTCTTCGGTTTGTGAGTACTTTTTATTTATACCATATTTTATTGAGTTTGTTTTATTTGTATTTTAGTTAACTACTGTGAATTATTGGAACATATTTTGATCTCATTTACTAAATACGAGTTAGGGCGATAGACATAAGGTTAATCGTACCATTTATATTGCTAGTTAGCCATAAGGGTTCAATCTAGTCAATAATCAATATTTGTATTTGTGAATAATTTTTGTTGTTCTAATAACCACCTTAGTTATCAAAATACTTTTAACGTCATAAGCTTTAAGCACTCACTTAACTTTACCTTTTAATCTAGTCATTACTATATTAATTATTTATTTGTGTTTGTGAATTATTATTCACAGACCAGATTAATTTATTATTGTGCCAAAAGGGCAATTAATTCTTTTTAGTTTACCAATCTTTTTTTTTATACTAATTATTTATTTGTGTTTGTGAATTTTATTCACAATTGTATCTTGAGCCAAAAGGGCTAATTATTTATTTATTACCATTTATTATAGCATTTTATTGAATATTATTATTATTATTATTATCATCGAGTTTGAGTTTTATTTATTTAGTTTTTAGTTATAGTTTTAAGTTTCCTACACATTCACACTATACACACTAAACACACTTTTGCACCACATAGCTCACTGGTCTTGCGTAGGCGATCCCTCACACTTCCAGTGAGACTATTTACCCCACTACCCACACAGCACTGATCGGTAAGTGTAAAGCAATTGGTAACCGGGTAAGTGGCCTATTATTGTCCGCCCCCGGCCCGTTCAACAACAGTGTGTTTAAAATTTTTTTTTTATTAAGATTTAAGTGTTTGAATACAATATAGATTATAAAATGTTTAAAGTACAGAAGTCAACGGTAGATAGGTATCATTTTCATACACATTATATTACTCTACAGTATTTTTCACAAAGGTAGTCGCGTTGAAAATAAAATATAAAAAACACATGCTGGTTACACACGACCTTTTAAGTTATGGCGTTATAAGAAAGGTTATAATTTGTTTACAAAAACAATTGTGGTAAGACCGAAATGTATAGGCTACAAATCGGGTGATAATGTGTGTAGAGAAAAAAAACTGAACACGGTAAAATATTTAACAACAAAATGTTTGATTACAATAAAAAATATAATAATGATAAACACGCAAAATATGACCACACAGAATTTCATAGTTTTTCTTACATTAAATTATTTTGGTGATTTAAATCGCTGTGGCTCAGACCTATCTGTTCAATAGAGGATGAAATAACTCCACCATCGGTCAGGAAGATGTCTCTTTATGGCTTCTTGACCAGTGGGATTGCGTTCGACCCGACAACTGTTTCTTATTTCAAATCATTGTGCGTTGCTCTGTTTCTCTACAAGAATCTAGTAGGTGAAATAAGCATCTGCCCGAACGATGCCACTCTATTTATCATAGTTAAAATCATTTATCCCTTATAATGATTCTACCTAGTGCTTATACGATTTTATTTCAACCCAAATAACCACAACTTGTTAATTATTTCTCATCGTAAAAATCACTAATATTTCCATTTTTATATTTTATACCAAATTATCTGATACTCGTGAGGTCTGTGTTCCACTGAGAAGTTTTCTATCACAATCTTGCCAATATCGCGACCGATCAGATAGAAGATTAACGGCCGTGTTGATCAATTTCATCTTGTAAAGTCAGGCCTTGATAATCGGTGAGCTTAATAATATACTGTGGTGTAAGCGAATACGGCCGTGAAACCAAGTCGGAAGGAAAGACGGGCCATTTGCGCCTTTTGTGTAAACTATTCTTTTGCAGAACGAAAGAATGTTTTAACAAGGTAAAAGAAGTCTATGTGATCTCGGAAGAGGACAGTAGAACTAGCAATGTAATCAACTCGTTTTTAGTGATCTCGGAGTTACCTAAAACCCAAACAAACTGAACTACTATAACAGAACAGGAAATACGAGACAAGAAAAATCGAATAACAAGGGAAGATATTTTAGAGCTAAATGCAGAGGTGGATTTAGTATTTTTTTTTTAATTACATCAGAAAGGAACTCATTTTTCTCGATACGCCTTTTTTTTTACTTTTTAGTAACTAGTAGAATTGCTTGCTCTGAATCACCTTGGTAGCAGCGAGTCGCACATTAGATTTCCGAGCAATATAAAAAACCTTAAACAAATAATAGAATAGTCTGAAAACAATTTGGCACACAATTTGACACAAGTCAGTATAATGTAATAGTATAAAAGAAACGCGTTATGTAAATAATTTAAGACTGCCAAAATCCTACAAAATAATTTCGATTTTAATGTTTCGTTCGACATAAAAGGCTATTAACAAGTCTTAAAAAAATCACTTCAATAAGTTATAATTAACCTGAAAGTAATACTTGCCGACTACATTGATAGTAAGTAAATTTTTTATACCTTTTATTAAGTGATAGAAATTAATTTTTTTTTTTTGGTTTCGTTGTAATTGCGCACGATACATTTTTAACCGCCACTCAATTCAGTTTCGATAAATCGCCAGTTTTTTTAATACAGAAATTGTACACACAATGTAGTTACAGTATAAACTATTTCTTAGCGACAAAAGTTAAACAAATTAACTCTTCTAAATAAAAATCAAGAAAAAAATAATTTTTATCCATTATTAAAAAACTGACGTGACAAAGTTTTTAGATACAGCATATTCATATCCACAGTAAGACTTCACTTTTTTTAAAATTCACTTTTGGACATAGTTTTTTTTAAATTCAGAACTAAAAACTACACATGTTCCGGCGCGAGGCTACGAAATCTTTACCAAAGTATTTTTTTTTAATCTCAAAAATTTATTTTAAAATGGCATAGTTAAAATTGAATGTTTTGTGAATGTGATAAATCATTTATTGAGGCATCTAACAAAAAAAAAAAACGAATACATAACTAATATCTTTACCAAATTGTACAAGCGCTAATAGTAAATCAATTTAATATTATTATTGAATGTTTTTAAGAAGACTGTTTCTCCATTTTTACCATTGTAATAACTAAAGAAAAAACCATTTTTTTTACGTATCCGTGTGACACGGACTACACATTTTTTTTTTCTTGTAATTTCCCGAACAAAAATAATACTTTAAATAGAAATGCAATTTTTTTATAAATGTTTTTAATAATATAACGTTAAATGGAGATTTTCTGTTTATAAATAAAAATGTATTTGAAATAAAAACCAACAAATGTATAATGGAAAGAAATGCTTGGCTACAAATAATATGAATTTTGTAAAAGAAAAAGTGTACGTGCCTGTTTTTTTTCATTAATTTTTTTTTTTAAAGTGAAAAACAAACCAGACAGCGTCTAGTAAAAAATTATGGTTATTTCAAAAGTCTAGGAAAAAACTTTTTTTTTTTATGACGATATAACAATATGAAAACTCACTAACGCTTTAATGCAACTACGCAACATCGATATTAAACATTTAAAACATTAAATTGTGATAAATCATCAGGCAATGATGTAGTCAAAACAATTACAAAACTAATACTTTTTCAAAAATGTATAGGCGCTTAAATTACATGATTCAGTAATTTTTTTTTTTTTTTGCATACTCATAGTAGGAAGGGATTTTTTTTTCTAATCAGAGAGATAAACAAAAAATTGAGTACATAATGACTATTATTTCTGAAAATGATCACCTCGTATACATAAAGAAATATATTTAAAAAAACAAAAATGGCACGCAGTGTGTGTGGATAAAGTGATGTATGGATTTCGGAGTTGGCGGAATTTATGATACTCCTATAACTTTTTTTTTTTTTTTGGTTTTAAACTACTAGAACAGTTTTTACTGTTTTACCCATTTGGCGCTAGTCATACTTCACTGGCAGCCCCTTATTCTTTGTTTTATCGTTATTTTCAATACTGCAATAAAATTATTAGGTGACACAAATTGGAACTCTGATTTATTAGAGCATATTGAAATCAGTTTAAACGCTCGTTCACGCTTCTATGTTGATAAAATTGGTCATATTTTATTGATTAAGTAGGTTATTTCAATTAATATATTTAACCACATTTAATCTTATACTAGCTGCCCGTGTACCCGGCTGATAGTCTGTAAATGTAATAATAATATATTTGTGATTATCACAACAAATAAATTTACAACGATAAAATAAAATTTCTAAACTATTAACCTTAAATATTTCATAGTATTTAAACACGAACTATTCGGTAATGTTTACTTCCACGACAGGCAATTTTTTGTTTCACTACAAAAAAATTTAACGTTTATTACTATTTGCAGGTAAAAATGAAACTCTTGCGTTTACTTATATCATTTGGATTGATAAGTGTTTTGATAGCTGATGAACGGGGTAATTATTTTATTTTTACTCATACGCAGACAAAATAGTAGGAATTTATAA